TATATATATATATATATATATATATATATATATATATATATATATATATATATATATAATAAAGATAAAGCGCTCTGAAGAAAGAGAGAGAATCATCTTACTTCGCTAGCAAACGCCTAAGAAGTTAGTGTCTCAATGATCGAATGAGAAAAGAGACCGGACTAAGACAGAACAGGAAATTAAGGTTCAATCAATTTTCAATTTAGCTACAACAGGCGTACACTATTAATTGTAATTTATCGCGTGACTTCGTTACTCTTCACAACTACACTCGAGGATTACGAGTTCCACGTAGATGAAATCTAATCCGACAGGAAGCGACATTCCTATTTTCATTAATGCGTAACCTAAGAACTGTTTGCACAAACTATTTAGATTTCTTGGAGTGGAATATTACATATATAATAAAGTGGAATACTTTATATATATATATATATATATATATATATATATATATATATAAAGTAAAAAAAAATACTTTATTATGTATGTATATATATATATATATAAAATAAAGCATATAAATATAATATAATATGATATAAAAAGCTATTATGCGCATGATGCCAACGTTTATATAATTAAATATATTTATAATATTCATATCCTATAATACACACACACACACACACACACATGTTCACACGGAAAAAAATGCTGTTAAAGACATAAAAAGGAAAATAGCTTCATTCAATTAAACGTTAGCATCGCAGGCTGCTACAAACATAACCAATTACTTGGACTGTATTTGTACAACAGCACTTCTTTCCATGTGAGCATATGTAATTACGTATAACTATATGTGGCCATATAAAGGCAAGATTCATATGTAATTGTATGTAATCATTTTTTCTCGGGTGTATTTCTGTGACGGTAGAAAAGTAAATCAAATTTACTCTTCAATAGCGAGTGAAAACTTCACTCTGTACGAGTGAGAAATCATTTAAATTTGAATAGCTCAGAGGTCGCTTTACTTTTCCGATGAAATTTCGAATAAGTTAACTTTTAGACTGCCGGGAAAGCCACTTTTGTGGTTTTCCCGGCAGTCTAAAGGTTAAGGATCTTCTCTTTTCAGATGCATCTAAGGAATACGGTTGGTACTCGAGTATATAGAGTATAGGAGACGTCGATATGTGGGGGGCTGCGGCCGATGACATAAGAGAGCAACGAGATTCTTATTAACGCGTAGTTCGAAATTGCTTACACACGTGCGTTAAATCATATCAGACCGGGGGATGATGATTCACACGATATTCTCAAGGACACGCGAGTTTGCTGCGAACGCGCGTGTAAGTGAAAACGAGGAGGAGGCGCGTGCACGCACGAGAGCCGAAGGAAAAGAGAGAAATTAATCCCCGCACGACCCATGAGCCGCTCGCATTCTGTAATTGATTACGAGAGAACGCACCGCGCGCGTCGCACACATACAGTCGTCACACCCTTATAACAGCGCGAAACGGGGCTTGGCGACAGTCATCCCGTCCCCGCACGGTAAATAGCGGCACGACGTCGGCACATCATGGAATTTCATCGAAGACACGCAAGAGATAAAAAATTACTTTGCAGTATCCCGACACGCTGCGTAATTAGACGGGGAAGCGAGAAACGCGCGTGGCTTAGCGCGGCTTAGTGTGGGCGAATGCGAATTACACTCTTGCGATGGCACTTCCTCGAATTGGACCATTTATGGCGGATTGCGGCGTAACAGGCCGTGTCATCGTGCCTCTTTCATTTACGTTCGGACTAACGAACGTTTAACAGCTATTGTTTCGACCAAATGCGTGCGCGCGTGTGTGTGTGTGTGTATGCGTGTGATTCGCGCGGAAATTCGTCGCTTTGAAGTTGCATTAAGAATACATGTCCGGAAATTTGAACAAAATATCCGATCAGCACGTTTCCTATCACGTGCCGATGCCTGTTAGCAATATAGCTTTTGACTTTTGCCGTTACAGTGAATGTTGCCTCTGCCAAAATTGCTGCTCCGACCGGCCGGCGTGAGGAGATCGAAATTAACTCGGGCTATGTTTGCGGCGCATACGCGCTCCGGTCACGTACCGGATATTAATTCGCGTCATGTCGCTATCAATTTCTCCCTGATGTTTGTCAATTATCAAATTTCTCTCCCACAGAAGCGCGCCGGATCGAGTGGCGCCTGTGAAAATATTTGGTGAATCGATTAACCCATTTCGACCTCGGACCATTTCGACCCGTTGCGAATGCTCTATTTTCGTCAACGCGTAATTAATGTCATGATCGTAATTAATTAAATATATAACAAGTATAAAATAGATAATATGATATATATACTGAGAGAAAAATACCTGAAAAATAGTAAACATCTCTTTGTCATTACCAATGACATATTTACTTAAATCTAAACTCTTTTATATAAATAGACTAAACAATTGCTTTCATGGAAAGCTAAAGTTTTTCTAAGGTTTAAAAAAAATGTATATTTCCTTACTTGAAAAATATCATAAATAATAAAGTAAAAAGAGTACAACGTGATAACACAAACGACAACTTAAAAAAATAAAAATCGAATATTAATATTAAAATCTGTCCCTATATTTATTATATATCTCATTCGAATGTTGTAATTATTTAAATACAATTTTATTTGATATTATATAGAAATATTTTCTTATGTTCATATTCGTGAAATTGTACAAAATGGAAATTTGTTTGTGAAGCTACGTTGTAACAGTATGAAGGGTCAGAAATTAGGTCGGCGATGGGGTCAGAAAGTGCGACATCGATATTTTCAAAGGATCGAAAACACCGGCAGTGTGAACTAATATTTTGAAATATATAACTTTATGATATTTTCTACATTTATTTATATATATACTTACAAAGCAGGCGTATCTTATGCAGAAAACATTAATTCATGCGATAGAACTATTTGTTATCAGTTTCATTTGATATTGCTTCCATAAGTAAAGAATAACTATCCTTACTGTTCTTAAAAGATCGATAAGTTGGCCGTTTACCTTATTCGAAAGACGGAAGTTATCTCACGGGGTGACTGGTATTCAAATTTCTGACACAACACGTTCTATCATTTTAGTATCCAGTTTCAAGGCGCTTTAGAAATATTGCGAAGGTCAGACATTCACACATCACGATCACCGTGATTCGACTGCTTAAATACAACTCGACGAAATTGCGAGATGAAGTATATAGCTGGAGAGTATTTTGCCACTTACCCGAACGTCCACCAAATGTCAAAGCACATCACGTTCAGCCAGAAGAAGCTCGCCTGGAACGAGAAGTAAATGACGAAGGCTGAAACAGGCAAATAAATAGCGTCTCAAAATCAAATTACATTGAAGTGCAAGAAAGTCTTGCAGTTATTATTCGACCGTGAAAACTACTCTGTATATTCTTCCTCTATATCGGAAACTCGTGGGAAAAGTCGCGATAAATATGTAACAAGTGCGTGCTTACATCCAATGAAAAAAAATCTTTCATTAGAGATACATGTATCTTGCAAAGTTATGATAAGAAAAGAAGAATCTATATTGATGCATTGATGTAAAAAAATTTGTCGTTTTCCTATTAAATTCTCCGGGAAAATTTGGGTATTAGAAGGAAAATAAGAAAGTCCTCGTTAGATGTCTAAAAGAATACCGAGTCGATGTTATCCATTTTACTTGTATCCCTTATTAATTCCTCGAATTGGATAATTTCGAGTTCTATTTCACTTGACAAACACGACAAACCTTTCATATCAACTTAACATTTCTGTACGGCACGCACTCGAAACTGAAATTTCATCTATTACTTATTCCTGTATTATTCTAAATTTCTTGGAGTGAAATCTTATTTCAAATGAATAAAAAGTGGTAGTATTTTCATTTAAAACGATAGTGAAAATATTGCCATTCGAAATAGCAAGAGTGAGTGTACTACTCAAACTTTAAGTGGATTGTGACTTTAGACGAGCGAGTGTTTCAACCGATTAAAACGAATACCTGAATACCTGAACAAAAAATATATATAATTATATATAAATATATAAATAAATATATAAATATATATATATATATATATATATATATATATAATATATAAATATATTATATAAATTATATATAATTATGTATAGGATGTTTCCTAAGGATACACTACACTAAGACACAAGGTTACACTAGGATTCATTAATGTCTTTACACTTCCGGTATCTGGAGAATTGAACTTTTTTGATCTGGCGCATCTTTTCTCCGTAAATGGGAATCGTGATTGTTAGTTACTAAAAGGACTAACGACTAACTAACAGTCACGATTCATGCTTACTGTCGAAAATGCAGGTGATGATTCTTCTCATCAAAATAAAAAAAAACATTCATATAAACATATGTCCTAAAATGCTTTATTTTAAGATATATCCAATAAACATGATAATGTCAAATAACATTTTAGTGACGCATTAATGTCATTTCTAACATCAATAATACGTCATTGGTACGTTATTTGACATCCTGCTACTTGAATATTACTCCAAAGGAGTTGCTGAAAAGTAAAATTATTTTTTTTACGAATAAAAAGACAACGTTGAAACAAAAATGCAAATTTCTTACATTTTATGTAAGTAAAAAAAAGTAATATTTTATTTATTCAATGTTATTCTGTTAAAGATGAAACACATTTTCTTTGATAATGGTGCGTGCTAGCGAATTTTGACAAAAATACATTTTTTATGTACAAATGTCTGAGATTTCTGAAAATAAAACCGTATTTGCTGTATCTGTGAGAATTAAAAAAAGTTATTCAAATTAAGAGTAACCATCCCTAATTTTCAACCTTTATTTTCTGGAGACGAAAACCATCTCAAAGTATGACTCAGTATTAATACCAGACGTTAAACACAAAATTAAACATTTTCACGTTTGACCGTTGTCTTTTTATCTGCAAAAAAGTCTTTCTCAGCCAACTCTTCCGGGATGTGTATTTCGGAAATAAAATATTTTAGAACATATGAATCTTTTTTCTTATCTTAATGTGAAGAATTACCTCCTGCATTTTTTATATGTATTTGGAAAACATTTTGTATGTTCTATGTACAAATTTTGTCTCTATATGGTCATATATTAATCATGAAAGCTCCTTTACTTTCATGGAATGTTTTCTTTCTTTCTAGCTTACAGTAAATTCTGACTTTATGCAAGAAAATATTTCAATCGATCAGAGTGAATACATCTCTATGATGGTGAAATAACATCAGACTCAACTCTTGAATTTCGAGTGAAAATACTCGACTCCACTCGACTCCACTTGACAATTCAGAGTGGAGAATTCACTCCGTTTCAGTGAAAAATCACTCGTATCGGGGTGATTCTGCGCTCAGTCTGCTTTTCAAATGAAATCCTATTCCAAGAAATTTAGAGAGTGTTATTCTAAAGCCCTAATTAATTCCTCAGTCATCAAAGAGTAATATACGACGAAGCAAGAGTGAAAATACAGTCGAGGATAAAGGATATACACGTCAGTTGTATCGACCGATTATACGGTCTCTTCAAGCTGTACCCGATCCACTGCAGACTGCATCCGATAAACCGTCAGGTGATATCAGCTGGAACGGCACGAGGGATATGTACGCGACGAATAACGAGCCGACGTATCCGCGAAGTGTGTAGCCATGCATGTTCCAGAGCTCCGGTAGTATGGTGTACACCACGAAGGTCAACAGCAGGAACGGCAAGGACACTAAGAGACCGATGGGTATGCCGCTGAAATCCACGCCATCGACGGTCGTACTTGTAGCATCGAAGCACATGGTCAGCTCGTATTTGCTCTTGTTCATGACGGCGAAGCAATAAGTTGCCGGATCGATGAATTTGTTCATTTGCGTTTGGTATACAGAACCGTTGGTCAGAATTATGTACTCGTCGGTGGGATATAAGGAGGCATCGAGCGCGTAGCGTCCATCGATACATGGATCTGACACGAACAATGGAAAAACCTCGTCCACCTTCTTGCTTATCTCGTGCACTTCCGGGAAATCATAATCACTGTCATCGGGCATGCATATGTCTCTGATCATACGATAGCCGAGTTCGCAACAAATTGGTATACAGACTGTGTCATTACAGATTTTGGAATTTGTTTGGTTCGAATTGCTTCCTGGGCGAAGCTGCAACGTGGTAGAGTTGCCTCCGTCGTTGGTCTCTGTGGAATTGTCGCGAAGCTCGGCCGGCACATTCTGACTGCTCTTCTCATCGAGGTTCTTCGTATAGTTGCTGTAAAACTCATGCTGTACCGAGTCCTCGTCGTTCCTCGTAGAATTCTCGTCATGGTCCAACGTGGTGGTGAAGTTGACGTGAGGCTCGTAGTGCATCGTGCCATTCAGATTGCCCTTCTCAGGCAGGTTCTTCGTATAGTTATTATAAAACTCGTGCTGTACCGAGTCCTCGTCGTCGTCCCTCGTAGAATTCTCGTCGTGGTCCCACGTAGTAGTGAGATTGACGTGAGGCTCGTAGTGCATCGTGTCATTCTGACTACCCTTCTTATGAAGGTCCGTCGTGTAGTTACTGTAAAACTCGTGCTGCATCGAGGCCTCGTCGTCGTCCTTCATAGAATTCTCGTTGTGATTCCACGTTGTAGTGAAGTTGACGTGAGGCTCATAGCGCATCGTGTCATCCTGCTGCTTGTCTTCATGAGTGGAGTTGCTCTGATTTTCCGCCGCGTAGGCGACCACCAGTAGAAGCGCGTACCACACGATGGGATTTAGCCGACACATCCTCGGTCTTCTACCGCGTACGCGTCAAGGAAGATACTGAATTGAGTTGGCTTCTTTCTACAATAGTCTCCGCGAAATGTCCATTGACCACAGCGATAACGCGAACTAAGAAAACGAGGATGTGTATGAAACTGTCTATGATTTGGCGGCGACCTTCTCGTCTCGAAGAGCATAATCGCTTTCGCAGCGAGCGCGCGTAAGACACTACTAATAAGACACCTCGATAATGCAGGTCTTGGCTTGATCTCTAACAGCAATGTGGTAGGAGGAGACATTAACCCCTTTGTGAATCGCATGATCTAATGATGACTCATGGTCTGGTTATGACTTTAGAGAATGCATGGTGCAGCGTAGCGAGTATTCGCTTCGGCTGCTTTAATTGTTAAGAGCCTTCAGCGCTCCCGCAGACATGTATTTTCCTTTTATACACTTGCAACTGATGCGATGAGTCATTACGCCCGACCATCGAGGAAATTTCATTCTACCGACTACTTCAATGTAATCTATTTTAGAGGGAATCCGAAGATAAGATCAACTGAAGTGAAGAGACGATTGATCCGACTAAGCCTGCCGTTGATTTTCGTCGAATTCACGCAAGTTTCAACCAAAGTGTGGAGCGTTTGAAAAGCTTATATAAAATGTGTTTTTCATATTAGTATTACTTTCTATGTTAGATGAATGATAAAGGCACTATATCGAAAGGAATATACGAAAAGGAAGTATTTTACACGGAGAGAATTTTATAACAAAAATAGCTATTCAGGATTCTATAACAGAAGAATTTCTAATTTTCTATTAAAAAAATAATTTTAATTAAATTTGAGATCAATTTTCTGCAGTAATTATCTTTTCATCTGGGAAAAAGTTCATATATAATTATCTATGAATTTTATCCATATATGTGACCTTATGTATGGATATATCTAATTATATATGTCCATTAGGGTGGTCCTTATTTTACTCTTGGTCAACATTTTTTTTCTAATTTTTCCCGCGGCATCTTCCAAAAAGTTTCCATTTGACAAAAAAGAAATCCCTGGAAAACTTTTGCTTGATCGGATAACGAGAACCCGTGCCTCCGGATCGTTAAACATTGGAGTACCTTTATATTAACAAAAATATTAAAAATTCGAAAAAAAATTTTGATCAAGAGTAAAATAAGGACTACCCTTATGTCCAAACATACAAAAATTGAATGAAAAAAGGAAAACATAATTTAATTTGATTAAACGTCGATTATATAATTAAAAATTATAATATTCTCTCCATGTAGAAGCCAGAAAAGCAAAAATGTGCTTCGATTGAATCACACAGATATTAATCGTATGATCGACGCTGTATCGCATAGGAATTAGTTATATGAACTATGATTAATTATACGATCTGATTATACATTCATTTTGCGCCTTTCCCAATATTAGAAAATACATTTATATTAATTGGTTATCAACAAATAATGCAATATATGTATTAATATATATATATATATATATATATATATATATAT